TGTGGAATCCACATGCAATGGACTGACGGACTGCAGGGAACACAAACTAAGTTGGACTCAGTTCCAACATGAAGCAAAACTTCTGGACACTGGCTTTGATTCTAGCTCGCTTAAGCCAGAGAAGCTACACTTCTTCTATGGCAGGGTAAAAGGAAATGGGACTTTGGAATCCAGGGGTTTAATTTCACAGAAATAAAGCTTTCTACGATACCTCAACCTTCAGTGCAAGTCTCAGAAAATTCCTTTTCTCGGGATATTGCAAGAAGCCCACTCCCATGAACAACAGGTGTTTATGTGAAGCTCTCCCCACTGATAACATTAGTTTTTGGTTTAGATGTGTCAAAGATGCTATGAGAGGTGGCAATGACTTCTGAATTATTCAAGGAGCAAATCTCTAGCCCTGTTAATTTCTATCAGAAAAAATCAACTATTGCAGTTTCACTATATTGGAGGGTATGAAACTATAGAGGAAGATTTTGAAGAAAAATGTCCTTTGGTCTTATTGTCAGCCATATCACCCTAATATAACTTTATATTATCGTCAAACTTCTGTTTCCTAATAAGTAAATAGGGATAATAAAGCTGAACTTGAAGTGTGATGGAAGTAATGTGTATAAAGTGCCAGGCACAATAAACGGTAGATGTTAGCAGATGTTATGATGATTCTTATTTGGGTGAACTTGTGCCAAACCCAATAGTGATCTACAGTCTCTGTCTTTTGATACAATTAATTTAGGTTTCGGCCAGAATATGACTGATTGAATTGATTATAAAGTAGATCAGATTTCAGGTGAGCAGGATGAAACCAATGACATTGACATTTTTGGCTACTAACTTCACTATATAATTTATTATTGACTGGTACAGACAAATGATTGCCTTAGAACAGAACCTGCTTAGAATATCATTTAACTTATGCAATAAAACTGATTAAAGAGTTTTAGTTTTTGTGATTTTGTTTCTGAAGCGAAGAGGAAGAAAGGTAATAAATATTAATTAGATTGTCAGAGAAACTGCAACTAATCTATACCTAGACTTACATTATCATCCAAACCAAAATGTCCCTATTAGGAAAAATAATAAATCCTGGGTTGCCATAGCAATGACTGGACTAAACATGGCCAGAGAGAATATAAAGACACAACAGGTGTCTAATACTTAATGCTGTGGTTGCTTCTATTTAGAGCCTAGGTATGATTATCTCTATGAAAATATTATTCTGCAAGACCTAAAATTTCTATTCAAGTTTATAAAACTATTTTTCTTAGGATTGCCTGAAATGTAGGTACCATATAGTAAGTGGCCTTTCTAGATGTAATTAACACCTCTAATGCGTCCCATGCTGATGTTGATATTGAGAAGAACAGTACAAAAGGATCCTGTTTGCTAACAAAAAGACCTTTTTCTAACACCCAACAGGCTCTATGAACCTAACCTGATAGAGCTAGAATGACTCACAGGAATTCAGTGACAGGAAAAGACACTTACTACACAGGAATTGAATGTCCCTTAGAGTAAATTCCTGCTTTGACAGTCAGTGTTTAGTAATGCGCATCTCAATTTGTTCTCAAAGATAAAGAGGAAGTTGGGAATTGATAACAAAGAAAAGAAAGAATATAAATTATGTGGATTAGATAATAATTTACAAGTTAAAATATTTATTTGAAGCTTGAGATTAACTTCATCAATGAAAAGAGTGGGTAATTACCCAGTAAATTAAAAATTAGTTCATCATAATTTCCACTTTTATTTATTTATTTTTTAAAACTGATTTCCTAGCATACCTCAAAGATGACAAGGAATAGACTTAAAATTTTTTGTTTTCTTTATTGGTTTTAGAGAAAGAGGAAAGAAGAGGGAGAGAGATGGAAACATCAATGAGAGATAACATGGATTGGCAGCCTCCTGCATGCCCCTCACTGGGGATTTGGCCACAACCTGGGTATGTGCCCTGACAGGGAATCGAACTGGTGACCTCTTGTGCACAGGTCTGCGCTCAACCACTGAGCCACAATGGGTAGGCATAATGTATACTTTTTTATCAATATGTTTCTGATATCCCTACACCCAAAACTAAGTTAGTTGTGAATCCTCCCTATCACTCTTTATTTACCACTTAAGGCCTACAATATAATCAAACTTATAATTACTTGCCTCCTCTTCCTTTTTTCCCCCACTTCTAAGGCAAGGGCTGACTCTGACTGACCTCTATAATCCTTCAGCATTTAGCATAGTGTGTCTTAAAATGTGTGCAATCTATTTTTTTTTCCATGAAATTGAATGTTCAATCACTAACCAATGAATTTCTCTAAGAAATAAAGATACCAATGAAGTGATGTTTGTTCCTGCTTGCAAACGCTTAAAGCATTCTAATCTTTCCTAAATTAATGTGAAGTTCAAAAAGCAAATGGCACTTGAAGAGTAAATTTCTTCCAGGGCCTCCTTTTCGTTGGAATCCCTCTTCATTTAACTTCTCTCAGTCCCAACAGTGAAAGGCTCATTGATCTAGACTTAAAAGCCAAAGGGGCTAAAAGCCACTGTAGGGGTCTGCTCAGTTTGAAATATAATTTAGGAAACCTTGGGAATGAATGACAGTTCTTTTTCAGGAGCCTCCCATACATATCTAAACAGAACAGCTTTCCAGATTGGAGACTGTAAAATATTACACCACCAACCAAGTCATAGAAAGTCATTCACTGCCACGTGGAAACAGTCCCTTGATTTTCACAAAGAGCACAAAAGACTATATTATATTTATTTAAATCTGAGGCCTGCAAAAATGTCAGAGGGAAAAAGAGAGCAGTCAATTTCTCTATAAGAACATTATTTAGGAATCAATTACTATGCAAAATAGCATGGATCTTGACAACTCGTGAATGTAAGAGAGGTGAAATACCTCCCTCCCCACCTCCAGTAATCAACTCTGCAGATGAAATGTTAAGCATCCTGTTTGAGGAATGTAAAAAGTTTTGAAATCAATGTGTTTCTCGTAAACAGGGTTTGGGGGAAAGCTCACTAAATCAGCATAAGAAATGCTTTATTTCCTGCAACTTATCTGGGAAGGAAATCATAAAGGCAGAGCCAGGTCCAACAAAATTATACACGTGGATGGGAAAATCTCTTCCAACTCCTATGCACCACTCAGAGAGTCAAATTATCCTAGACTTTCCTTTTTTAAGATAAATGGAGTGGTTTTTACAGACACTTGTCTGAAGTTAATTGGCTTGTTGGAAGAGGTTGAAGATAGTCATTATGTAACTGTTGTCTCTGCTCCACTGGAAAATTATCTTACTTGGGTTAATAGTTCATTAGAAAGAAGACACTGTTAACAGAGAGGTTAAGCTCTTATCAGTGAGCTAAAGGAGGTTGGTATTTTCCCCAAAGTGATCATGCAGAAAAATCTGCCAGGTCATCTCTGGGTTGTCCTTTACCTTTCCATGTTCCCAAAGGCCACCTTTTGCAGGCTGCGTCTATTGATCCTATTCCACTTTGCTTTCAGAAAGACATGTAATTCACTCAGTTTAATGATGCCAGGAAAGTAGTGTCCTCACTGATGCTCGGAGACCTGAAATGGAGAGCAGCCTAACCCAGCCTTTCAGAATTTATATTGCCCTGACACCTGTTTGTGAGTGTTTTTCATGGCATCAGGATTCCTATTAATCTTTCCCATGCTTACTGAAGAGTTACTTCTAAACTAGTGCATTGATTTCTAGTGACACCTCATAAATATTCTTTATTTTAAGAAATCAGATTCTCAGTAACTCTTCCAAGTCCGTTTTATGGCCCTTCATAGCCTCGGAAATGTAACCCTGAAAACTTCAAGATGCATGGTAAGCCATCCTCCGTGATTTGGAAGTGTTTGGGAATTTGTCCTAAATTTACAAATATATTTGAGAAATGAATGGTAAATGTTTTTCAAGAAGGAGTGTGGTTATTTTTTCCTACATTATCACTGGAAATTAGAATTATATAAGAAGCAAAATTTTGAAAAGAGCACTAGCAAAATGAAATTAGAATGGAGATTTTTTTTTTACAGGGCTCCTCAGAGTCAGAATCAATCTCTCCCAACCATGTTCTTTTAAGATAGTTTGTACTTTGGTTTTCTCATTTATTAAGTCTGTCTTATGTTAGACTTACATGCTCATTTCTCCCAATAGCACATTTATCACTGAGAGCAAAAACAATGTCTTGCTTGTTTTTTATTCCTTGCACTGCTGAGAACATGGTAGGAGCCTAATACATATTGATGAAATTTAATTGCTTACTGTGAAGCCCACTGGAAGGGTTAAAAGACAAATGTAATCATTTCTTGTAACTGGTCACTAACATAGTCAGACTTATAGGTACATAAATCACCTATATCTGAGGTTCAGAACCTGCAGTCAGTGGGTAGGGTTTTTATGTCTATATTTCCCTGAAATGTTATGCAAAATGTTATATGTAGATATGTGTATATTTCAGGAGCAAACATTTAGACACTTTAATTAAATAAATTTCCTCTTAACCTACCCCATCTCCTCCAGATATTATGATGCACCCCCTTAGGCAGCTTTACTTAACCTCTCAATTCATTAAAGCCCACATGTAGTTGAGACACATATAGACCAGCCTCTGCAATGTGATATTTCCAATGACAACCTTTCACCCGTACGTGACAATCCTGTTATTTCCAGACTTATGTCTGAAAAGTGGACATTTTAAACCGGCATTTAATCCCCAGATTTTTGTTCTCTAGAAAGGTCATTGTATATTCCCGGTACCTTTATGATGCCGTCAATGACACCTCTAGGCCGCTCGCGCAAACAGTTCCCTTCAGTGAAAACAAACACACTCTCCGTAGAGCCTTCTATGCACTCGCAGTCAACACCCACACACTCTCCTCGGCAAATGAATCACTGTGTTTAAGTTTCCGGGGAAGCTCCCTGCTGGTAAACTGAGGCCAACAGCCCCTACTAGTGAGACCTGATTCACACCACCAGAGGAATAAGAGAAAATGGTACCTATCTCGTCGTCACTGCTACAAAGACTGGACAGAAGACAAAGGATGGTCACTTGAAGCAGTTCCATGGTGCCCGTGGATTGTCGCAGTGGCTCCTCGCTCCAGAGTCAGACAGGGACAACTCCCTTCCAGTCCGGCAGGACCTTATTAGCAAATGGAAAAGGTGTGCTGAATGTGAACAGCCACTGCCCATTCCTACTTATTTCGGGGGCTCTGATAAAGAACGGGAGGAAATACACACACTCCCTTTGGGAGTTCAGCAGAGAGGAGATTTATTGTTTCAGTCCCTTACAGGAACTTTTTTTTTTTTTCTCTCTTCCTTTGGCAGCCACTTGTGTTTTTGTTACTACATTATTTTGTTCTTCTTCAACAAAAAGGTCAGGGCGGGTTTTTAACAGAAACAGATCTTTCTTGAGAATGGATCATACAGCTTTCTAACTTTTGTTTTGAAAGTGCATTTTGGAGTGGTTATAAAGGGACCTCATTAAACAGTGACTCAGTTTGGATAAAAAGGCTTTAACTGCCTGAGGGTTAAACTTTAGAGTAAAATCCACAAGGAATCAATGTTTCTTCTTTCTTTCCAAATTGAACGCCAGATTAGCAAAGACCACCTTCTGAAGATAAGTGCAAAACCTTATTAAACAGAGCCTACTCTGCTCTTAAGTAAGCAAGGAGACTTCTTAGGGATGTCCAGAGAAGTTTCTCAGGATATTCCTAAGAGAACTAAGCAAAGACATGAAATGTTCACTGATCATTCCTGGGTTTTATTGGTGGAAATTGATGAAGAGGGTGGAACAATCACTTATAGTTCCCAGAGGATGCTCTTCTCCAGGAAACGCAATTGGAATGGCACAGGGTGGAATGCTCTTACAACAAACCAGTGAAGTTAGGAGGGATGGATTCTTCAAATCAGAATGCCAAGCAGTCTAGATAATATGTATATGAGGGATCTCTTTGATATTAGTAACAATGGATTAAAACATGGTGAGTACACAGCCACACCCTGGTTGCAATCCCGTGTATGGGTAACTGGACACTTCCTCAGCCGCAGGCTGTACATCTCACCTCAGCTACATGCCCTTTTCCATACCTTTAAGCATAAGCCTCCTGTGACAAAGCAGTGACAATGGATCAGTAGAGATTTATCTGCTCCAGCAAAAAGAACAAAAAACAAACAAACAAACAAACAAAAATGATTCCAAAATTATACTTTTACCTGTTTACGAGGAGGATGCACATTTCACTACTGCACAGGGCTGGCAGGGATTCATTGTATGAGGGTTAGAGCAAGCTGACTCATCAAAACACCCCCAAACACTGGCTTGTTTCATCCCAAATTATCCCAAGTCCCAGAAGAGTCTCCAAGTTCTATTTTGTGTATTAGCAAGACTTAATTTTACCATCTTTTCTAATTAATTTTCTAAAATAGGCACTTTTGGAGTCGTTACTTTCTTTGGCATATCCTGGAGAGTATAACGATAGCAATGTATGTGACCAGATGTCACAGGCGCACTCCAGAAATAAGACCGGGTGTGGCCACGAACTCACAGCCCAGCGCGCACCTTGTCACTGCCTGCTCCGTGCTCTGCTGTGGCTCGGGAGTTTTCAGCACACAGGGTCACCCTGTTGACCACTATCATTGCTGTAGAAATTCCATAGCATTTAGATTTCTCAGCTCTGACTGCTGGGCTTTTCCACAGAAAAGACTAGATATCTATTTTAAGAATACTTGATTAAAAATATTATGTCTAGTTAAAAGACAGAAACTGTAGATGAAAAAAAAATCGAAAATGAAAAAACTGTATATTTTGAAATGACTGTTTCAAAAATATAGAAGTAATATGGTAGGTCATCATTATCTTAATACATCAGAAGATATTTTCTCTGTTTTTTTTTTTTTTAATCCTCACCCGACGACATTTTTGCATGTATCTTTAGATAGAGCGGGAGGGAGAGAGAGAAAAAGAGACAGAGAGAAACATCTATGTGAGAGAGATACATCGACTGGCTGCCACCCACATAACCCCAACCAGGGCTGAGGACAAACTGCAACCGAGATACGTGCCCTTAACGGGAAGCGAACCCGGGTCTCTCTGGTCCATGGGCCGGCACTCTAACCACTGAGCCAAACTGGCCAGGGCAGAAGGTATTTTAAAGGTAAAATAATTTATTGAAACAGTGGTGATTGACAATAAAGAGACAACTGATCAATAACAGACATTCCAGGCAGAAATGTGTATATAAATATGTAAATATAGATGTATTTGCAGATATGTATATGTATATGTGTGTGGAGAGAGAGATTAGATATACAGTAAATATGGTTAGAATAATATATATTTAATAAGTAATTTTTGACAAGTTATTAACAATCTTAAAATAATTAAAGTTAGGTCTATACTTAAATTCAAATACCAAAATATTTTTTTCTCATGTTAAGGATTTAAAGGTAATAAACAAAATCACAAAATTTTGGAAGAGATTATTTGCACGTAACTGGGTGGAGAGGACATTTTATACATGATATCAAAAGCAGAGTATCCAAAAGCAAGATTTGATCTGTTTTCTTACATAAAATTAAAATATTTGGCTCAACACACCATAAGATGAAATGGCAAATAAAAAACTTGTAAAATATAATACACAATGAATATTTGATATCCTTAATATATAAAGACCTCTCACTAATTAACGATAAAGCATTAACTCTACACCTGAAATATAGACCAAAAAAAAAAAAAAAAATCATAAAAGAAGAAACAGAGGGCCAACAAAATGGAAAAATATATTAATCTCTTTTGAAATAAAAGAAATTAATGTTTAAAAATTAAAATAACATTTTTTTTTGTCTTATAAACTTAAGTATATTTTATGACAATACTCAGTTTTGATGAATGCTAAAGAGAGGCTAATGTCTTATTCTTGGGTTATGTATGACCTTTCTGGGATGTGACTTGGCAATATGCATTAAAACTCTTAAAGAATCATACTCTTTGAACCTGCAATTATGTGTTTAGAAATGTGTGCTAAAAATGAAGATGCTCATTAAAGTTCATGTTATTACAAACATTTGTCAACAACATTAATTATTAGGAATAAGATGCAATATTATTCTGTGACAAGTATTAAAAATTTAATACATGTACAAATATATTCATGATACTTATTGCATGTACTTATATATTTATATGTACATATGCATCTGATATATAAGTAAAGATATACATATATGTGTATATATATATGCAGAGAGAGATTAGAGAAAGAGAGAGAAATAGAAAATGTTAACACTGTTTATCCCCTGGTAGTGAATTATGGATGGTTTTTTACCTATATTTGTTTATTTTTCTTAAAATTATTTTTCTAGAGTAAACATGTATTTTTTTATTCTTTAATTATTTTTATTAATTTATTTTTCTTACAGATGTTTCTCCTTTTTCCCCCATTGACATCTTCCTCCCCATCCCTCCTGTCCCAACCCCAGATTTGTTGTCTATGTCCATTGGTTATGCATACGGACATATAAGTTCTGTGGTTTATCTCTTTCCTCCCAACACTCCTTTTCTGAGGTTTGTCAGTCTGTACCCTACCTCTATGTCTCCAGGTCAATTTTGTTCATCAGACTGTTTATATTCCACAAATGAGTGAGATCATGTGATACTTGTCTTTCTCTGTTTGGCTTGTTTCACTTAGCATAGTACTCTCCAGGTCCTTCTATGTCATCTCAAAGAATAAGAGATCTTTCTTTCTTATAGCTGCATCGTATTCCATTGTGTACATGTACCACAGCTTTGGGCCAATGATGCATCAGATAAGAGGCTAATTTCCAATATATAGAGAGAATTCATGCAACTCAACAAAAGGAAGACAAAGAACCCAATTTAAAAATGGGCAGAGGACCTAAATAGACAACTCTCCGAACAGGACATACAAATGGCTAAGAGACATATGAAAAAATGCTCAACATCATTAATTATCACAGAGATGCAAATTAAAACAACAATGAGGTATCACCTCACACCTGCCAGAATGGCCGCCATCAACAAGTCATCAAACAACAAGTGTTGGCGAGGGTGTGGAGAAAAGGGGACTCTAGTACACTGCTGGTGGGTATGTAGACTGGTATAGCCACTATGAAAAACACTATGGTGTTACCTCAAAAAATTAAAAATTGAACTGCCATTTGACCCAGTGATCCCACTTCTAGGAATATACCCTAAGAAGCCTGAAACACCAATCAGACAGAATATATGTACCCCTATGTTCATAGCAGCACTATTTACAATAGCTAAGATCTGGAAACAACCCAAGTGTCCATCAGTAGATGAGTGGATAAACATGTATTTTTGTCTAAAAAAAAAAGGAAGCTTTTGTTTCACCTGATACTTTTTGTTTAATTTTATATTTCCAGGGAATATTTATACAAACATTTTGTATTCTGCCTTAATTGAATATTTTAATTATTAGTGTGTGATGAGCATTTTAATGGAATGAATTATGTGAAAAGAACTAAACCATCCTAACCTGAGGGATGAAAAGATGAAAGAAAGTGGTCTAGTTTCATATTTTTTTTGCATGTATATGGTCAATTTTCCCAACACCATTTATTAATTGTTTTTGCCCCATTGTATGTTCTTGCCTTTTTTGTCAAATAGCAATAGACTATATAAGTGTGGGTTTATTTCTGGGCTCTCTATTCTTTCCCATTGATCTGTATGTTTGTTTTTATGCCATTACCATGCTGTTTGGATTACTATAGCCTTGTAGTATAGTTTGATATTGGGTAGTATGACACCCTTAATCTTGTTCTTCTTTCTCAATATTGCTGAAGCTATTCAGGGTCTTTTATGGTTTCATATAATATTTTGGATTATTTGTTTTAGTTCTATGAAATATTCCTTTAGTATTTTGATAGGAATTGCATTGAATCTATAGATTGTTTTGGGTAGTATAGACATTTTAATGATGTTATTCTTCTTATCCATGAGCACAGTATATGCTTCTAATTATTTATAACTTCTTCAATTTCTTTTTTCAGTATCTTATATTTTTCTGAGTACAGGTCTTTTATCTCCAATAATATCAATTATCAGAGAAATGCAAATTAAAACCACAATAAGATATAACCACACACCTGCCAGAATGGCTATTATTAATAAATCAATCTACAGTTAGTGTTGGTGAGGATGTAGAGAAAA